TTTCACGGTTTGGCCCTTGACATATCTTGAAATAAGAATACATGTACGTTGACTACATATATACACAAGCAATCTCATTTGGTGCTGGTGCCTTGAAGGATTTGAATGTGTGCACCTTGCGCATCTAATGCAAACATATGCGAAAGTGTGCAAAAGTACCACTTGGATTCCGCACCTTCTAAATTTAAATTTCCAGCCTGCCAAGGCTACGGCCGCATCTGTCCCACCGATGAGCTGGAATTCTGAAAAGTCTATGCCGCTGCCTTCTCCATCCACAGCCACAAACCGATCGGATGAGCAACCCACTACTTCCGTCCGAGAAAGCCAGCTGGACTGGCGAGAAGCGCCTGGCCTCGAGCACTCGGATGTACAGAAAGCCTCCCTTCGGCCTGCATGGCTGTAGAACTTAAAACACACCCGGGGACCGGGGAGGGAATATGTACCTAGCGCTTCCAAAGGGTGCCCAATGGAGATCCCTAGGTAGTGTAGGGGCTTCCATTGGTGACCCCTTTGAAGGTGCTGGTTTTGGGGATTGGATGGACGCGCCACGGCCTATTGGCATACTGTTGGCATACTGTTTGCTTTGGGATGGACGAGTTGTTCACACACAAAGGAAAGTTTGAAACTACTCTAAGCAGGGATTTCGTGACAATGGACCTAATGGAACATGAACCTTTGGCTGGTGTCACGGCTTACTGGTTACTGTCGATGCCTCCCAAATACAAATTGTATATAGCTGAGCAGGTTAAAAAATCAACAACTGCATTGACATGCATTGACAGGGTTATATGGCTTTTGACACGGGTGCATTGCTTTTCCAGATTTCACTACGCTTTTAATCTCTCACAACTGTCCTATACTAAATTGATCTATCATCACTGGTTGCTCAAATGGGATAGCTTATGACATTGAAACCGCACCCATGACTGCTTGACTGATTGGTGACGACAATCTTCACAGCTGCTTTCTGTTCTTCGTCTTGTTTTTCGTCTTAACATGTCTTACCATATGTTTCCCTAGGGCTCCAACGATATCCTCAGAAGGTGGTTAGACCCCCCAAAACCCACCCCAACCATCTTCGAAACGGAGGTGGTTGGAGCCCTAGGGTTTGTTCCACCAACCTGCAACAACTCCGCCACTCAACGACTCCACAACTCGGTCGTGTTCTGCGCACCCACTGCCACCCATGGGCTGAACGCCCAGAACTCCGACCTCAGCCACGGGTGTTTTTCAGAGGTCTCTGGGTGGTCCCGGTGGTCCATCAACCGGTGGAGTCCATTGAGTGAACGCAAAAGACCCGGAGTGAACGCAGGCCTTTCTGGAAAAGGCTTGCCTGGTCCATAGAAATTCGTTCGCTAATACGTCTTGTGCGGGTTGTTTCTTATTATCTGGATTGTCTGATTCGATCATCTTCTTCATCTCAGAAAAAAGGGTTGTTCGTGGATCGGCTCGGCAACTCATCGCGCCTTCTTCGAGGATGAAGCAGGTCTGGTAAAGCCATCTCGTTATATAATATATATATATATATAAGTTGACCTGTTTGCTTCAAGGAATTCATTCAAACCGGATTTTGGAGGGCATTTCAAGGAGTTTCCTCCCACATCTCTCTTGGCTTCCTGGCGAACGCTGCCGCCTCACACACGCTTTTCATGGGCGACCCCGAAAACTCTGAGACTGAATCTCTCATACTCCGGACATTTAGATATCATTACACACAGCGTCCACACACACACACACATGGCTGTGGGGGGTTTGGGGTCTCATCTCATCTCATCCCTAAGAACGCCCGATCTTGCGTTCAAGCTTTGCCACTTACCTGCTGCTTGCTATCCTTGCTTTGGTAAGAGCGGGTACAAGAAGGATTGTGAAACTGACGACGACAACAACAACAGCAACCACAACGACAACGAGAACAACAACAACAACAAAATGGTTCCAACCCGGTTGGCCAAACTGATCGAAGGTAGTAAGGTCTGTAGCAAGATTGGGTAACCCGCCCAAAAAAGCGGGCCATGTGCGTGCCCAGCTAGCAAAGGGCCGTGGTCTGCAGGATAGAAACGAAACGTGGCGAGGGATATGATATTAACAATATCACATGACAGTGATAGGGCATCCGTTAAAGACTTAGGTACAGGGCACTTGGTTAATGTTAGTATGTGTTCGTGCTATTTCGTGCTATCAACTGATCTTCACACAAACCAACCGCGAATACGTGCCCCAAGATTCTGGCTAAATCAACAGGATAATCAGAATATGGCAATTTTATGCAATTGTTGTAATTCTTCTCATGTCCAACCGTCAATCCCTGCATTGATAGGTATACGGCATATGCCGCAAATCAGGCAAATTGAGGAGGATATTATGAACCATAGTCCAGGGCGGGATATTATAGTGTAAAACATGTTGAATTGTTTCGGACCAAAATTCGGAATCTTCTTCCTCTTGACTCGCCCGACCACGGGGGATGTGATAGGCAAACGTATCTTGGCGAAGTGTGGTGCTGTGCGATGCCTTCACCATCAAGACCCAGTGTGAAAGTGGTGAATGGATAAGCAGGAGCGTGTTTCCTTGTCTGCACAAAGTGGCAGCTGCAATGTTGACGGGTGCATCCAAAAAACAAAACACCGTGTTATTTGCCTTTGATGGTTTTGTAAATCAAAGATCAGGAAACCCCATATTTATATTTTATATTTTTTATGTTTCCGTGCAATGATGTCGACGTGCCCTTTCCTGTCGGACAGGTCATATCTGCATCAACTTATCATAAATTATCTGGACCAAATTCTAAGGTATCAAAATCAGGAAGATTTGGAGCTAACTCTGGTATAAACTCAAGCGCCAACATCCTATTATATCGACCATTAGACCGGTCACCAAAATAGCTGGGTTTTCATGGAGGCGCATATATACGTAACCGAATCTAACCTCCACACATGCCTCAACAGCAACCATATCATTGCGTCAAGCACCCCGTGGTTATGGTTCGAAGACTTCGAAAGAACAGTGGACCCCCGTGACCTGCGATCGTGGTAAGCTGACCCACCCCCGTTTCACGGCTCCATAGCCATTTCTTGATCGAAGGAACATGGACAGCCTGCCAATTGGATCCAATTAGTGAGCTCTTTAAAGATTCCTTCAACACCAAAGCTCTAGAGCAATACATGAAGGTTCCCGGGATGCTCAAAGCCAGCTGTTTCCGCGAGGGAGCACGCAAAAGCAATTTTTTGGCTTGGGGACATGATTTATGTATGTATGTATGTATATATATATTATCTTATCTTATAGTTGTTTGTCAACTTTCTTTCCCTCTTCTCTTCCCTGGCGACAAACATTCCACCATCAAATGGTTTGGTCCAAATAAATCCTCCTCACCAAACCTCCGGTTTTTCCGCCTCTGCCTGGAGCTCGAGGCTCGAAACTGCCGCAGGGTGGGATAGCTCGGTCGGACAGCGGAACGGTCGGCAGGCTGGGAATTGCTACCTGTGAAGTGATTCGACCAAAAAAACAGTCTTGCAAGTGGAGGCCAGGCCAACCCAAGTTGTTTTCGAAGTAAGTTTCAGCACAATTCAGTAACTTTAACACACTTTAACCATGCAGTGAGCAAATCCATGGGCTGTCCCTGCGAAGAAGGCTGTGGAACCGACTCCCCCTTTCCTTTTCGGCCAAAGGAACCACATTTTCTATGAGCCCTTTTCCTGTGACTTGGTCAGCATGTTCGTGCCCTTACTTATTATGCTTCCCTTTACCTATGGGTTCTTCACTGCAAGGTACTGCAAGGTATCCCCTTAAAAAAAAAGAAGAACCAAGAGAACATATTAGGCCATCTATGATCACCAGTGATCCACTTCGCTGCTCTGCGGCCACTCGCAATGGTGGCGGTGGCCCAAACCACCCGCCGCGCCATGATCCACCCGCCTTCCGTGGCCATGTCACTTTGTGAAACCACCTGAGCGGTTCGTCACAGCCGACGGCTCCAAGCCAGGTTCTCCAATTGGAGACAAATGTTAGCTTGCCAGGTCGTGCCAAGGTTTTCCTCGCTTTGGGAAATGGTGAAAACCATCTCTGTGTGCTTTGTTCCGGACTGATCAGGCTTTTCGATGTTTCTTGAGGTATTTCTGTGGTCAAGCTGAAGATTTGGCTGTGACCCAGACTAGGCGAGGATAGTTTTCAGCGTCCATCTGATGGCAAACATGGTAAGTACCGGCAAATACCGGCCAGCCAAAAGCTTTGTCTTGGCCAAGCACTGTCCAAGCACCATCGCCATCAAGGGGGTGCACCATGGAATATACAGGCAATGTGGCAAGTCTTGTGTGACTTAGCACTGAACTCCATGAATGAAGCCGGGCCATGTTGAAAAGACTTAGGGAGGGCTTTCCCAGTCACTAACTTTGTAATTAATCATGTATGCCACGGAAAGATACCAATGTCTTGGCTTCTCTCTAAGAGTTCTAAACGAATCTGACTGAAACAAAACACGTCTTGCTCCTGAAAACGCTTCCCATAGGAAGCGGTCCATGTGATGCCTTGAACCGGACATGGGGTGCTTGGAATGAGAAAAACACAACTTTGGGTGATGTCAAGGGATTTCAAGATGCATCCTTGTAGGAACATGGATTCGCTAATCGCTCGAGTCGCATGGGCGATTCCAAGTTCCTTCAGCAAACAAGGATCATGCTGTATCACTCTCCAATCCATACGAGAAAAGCATACATCTGCTCCAACAATTTCCAACTTACGGGACAGGGGAAGCAGCTAGCAAACGGCAGCAAAGTAAAAACAACCAAGAAATACCGAGGATTAAAACACAACCCTTTGTTCCTAGTAGCACTCTTGTTACTCGTCGTGAAGCCAGGAGTGCCCCGTTCGTAGCCCTCCGTTCGTAGCGGCTGCCCTTTGCTCCTTCTTCCCAAAAAAAGAGAGTGAAGATCGCAGGGTGAGCCCCATGTTCAAACGTGGCGTGGCTGCCGAAGTGGCTGTGTGAGGCGCAGGACTGAGGGCCAGTGGAAGTGCAACATGCAAACACACGACCTCGTCAGTGGCGTCGACTCGTAAGTGCTGGTGGAACCTCCAAAGCCTGTAAAACACCCAGCACTCATGCGTTTGAGATGAGTTCGGTGTGGAAACCCTCTTAAGTGTGCGCCACTTGTGCAAACCTCTTGCACCAATTTTTTCACGAGCTCAGCTCTCCATCGCAGCCTCGAAAACACGGAGGTGAAGCGGAACAGTTTTCACACGGCGTGATGCGTGGGGAAAAACACAAAAGACCTGTACAAGTTCAGAAATCAATATATAAAGCAATTGATTTGGCTGACTGGGATTTTGCATCTTTAAACCTGGGCTGGGTCTAGTACACTCCAATCCAGAAAAAGCAGGCATGCAGGGTAGGCCCCCGTGAGGGTAGCCCGGCGGCGTTTGTTCGTTCAGATTTGCCTGTCCATGCGATCGCCCGGCCTCTGCTATGTCCTGCCACGCGCGAAAGAAGCCACAGTGGGCATTGCCCGCATCCTGCCGGGCATTCGGGTGGTTGATCGAAAAAGGCCCATGGGCGACGAGACGCAAGCTTCTTGCCTTTTCCTTGCCCTATCAACCTCATGCTGGCTGTTCTAATAGTTCTTGACCACAGACACTGGTACATCCGACTCTTCCCTCATGGAGAAATCATCCTGTTCTGCATGTCCGATGTCTGGAAGTGTGGACATGTTCCACAAAGCAGTCTTCCAGATCTGCAAGATACCTTTTGGCCACAACAATCAGCTCAAGTAACCCCAGATCTTGGTCGTAGCTCCAGTGGTGTCCACAAATCGTGTAGAACTGAAGGCGTGTCCCTTTCAATCCACTGTTTCCTCTCCTCTCCTCTCCTCTCCTCTCCAGTCTCGGAGGGTCGCCCCCGCCTGGTCACCAGCGCTGGTGTAGAAACATCTCAAGGAGTCAAAGTGCATCTCCAGGCCTTGGTCATACCATGTCATACCAATCGTTAGTCTCTTCACACATCGTCACACAGGCCAGGCCGTGCTACGGGTAATGATCAACCATGTGGGTTTTGGTGGAGTGTCAAAGGAACATCAATTAGACTCAGGCGTGACTAGACATTCGTGTCATATGCTCTTGTGACAAAACCTGATCCAAAGAAAACATAGCATAACCAAATACTTTGTGCAACTGCAAAGGAAGGAAGGACCTTAATTACCATCCAAATGCTCCAATTCAGTCTTTCTCTTACAGTACAATAACAGGTACTAGTTTTCATTGGCAATCTTGAATGCTATTGATTCGTTCGTTCACGTAAGAACACAGTGACAGGACTTCCTTCAGGGTCTTCGTCCATTCCCAGCTTCTGACTGATGGGCAGGCCTTCAGCGTAGTGCCTCAGCCGCACTGGTGTTTGAGTGATGAAACATAGACCAAGCTGACCTGAGATGAAAAAGATGCTGTGTTCATCGAGCTGGTGCTTCTATTGGTGACGGTTCGAAAGCAATGATGGGTCATTATTCCACTTCAAACCGATATGGTGGTACACGGAATGAATCAAAACGCCACATCTCCGTAGCAGCGTAGCAAAACGTGACAAAGCTCATCAAAGTTCTACAAAACCGCAGAACGGATCATCGGCTATACCTACATTCATCCAAAATTCTTGACACCACCCGTCACCGTCCCCGTCACAGCATGGCCACCTTCGAAGCACAGAGAAGCCAATTGCCTCAAAAATTGCGAGTTGAACCCAACCAACTCTCAACGCTATATGTTTTCCCCTCCCAAACTTGGTCCTTTCCAACTTGCAAGCATTTGTTTTCTTCACAAAATCGACTGAACAGTTTCGCTCCCAATTCTCGCTGGCCAAATCGAGCAAGACATATCAACCGATCTTACTTGAAGAATGACCATGCTGCCATGATGGTCAATTCTAACTCCAGATTTATGATGATTTGCATGGGTTCAAGGATGTCACCTTATGAATGTCGAACAGAATCAATGAACTTATGAAGGACGTTGTCTAGGCTGATATCGATCCAATGAATAAGTCGTTTCCAAAGAGGCGCCTTGCAGCGTTCCTCGAACTCATTGTGCTCTTTCGCAACGAAGGGCCGGCCTGGGTCCTGAGAGGAGAATGCTCCCAAAGTAAATCGAGCGGTTGCAGAACGGTTTCCAAATGTTCCCTGTGCCACCTTTCCAAGCCTTGTTGCAACCTGTTGGGCCTGTTGAGTAAACGGGGGGGTGGAAAGCCTTGCATTTTACAGTGCTTTTTGCGTTTCGGGCTTGTGGGATTGTTGTCTCGGATTCATGAACTCCAAGACGGTTACGGTCTGCTATGTAGCCTCTTACATTCATACCATCAGGCCTCACCAGCAACATGCACTCCTTTTTGTGGTCAGTCGTCGGCCCACTCCAGCCAGCCATGACAGGTCACGGTACCTTTGACCTGGCATTGCCTCTGGATGCTTTTTCACCGCTTCAAGCATTGAGTCCAAGCAATGCCGAGAGGCCATTTACGTGCTCTCTTTGCAATTTCACATCGCAACGACCGAGCTTCCCCATTCTGCGCAACGATTTCGTTGGAAACAACATCTGAAGCGTTGAGAAGAGCTTGTTCCATCCACAAAGGAAACGTGTCGAGTAACGCGAGTTGAAACAAGAAGGCATCTGGCCGACAAGAGCAAAGCAGCAAGTCGGGAAGGTTGCCTTCACGGGCTGAACCCCCCCGGTTGACCCAACATGTTGCAACGGTGACAGCCAAACGTTTTGTGGCTTCGAGACCGATGGCCACGGGTTGGCCGAGAAAACGAACCTTAACAGGTGGGTGAAACATGGTGTGTGTCCATGTGTGTCCTGTTTGAATAGGTGTCATCTTACAAAGGCAATCCCTTTGTGCATTTCTATTGGACTTACTCCAGTGACAGTATCAGTATACGTATGTTGCTATCTTTGCCACTTCTTTTTCATGCCTATATGTTCTAAGACACGTGCCTGGACTGTCTGCTTCATTTACTACTACAACGAAAGACTGCTGCAAAGGCTTCTTCACATCCTGAGCAAATAAGGTGGGGCATCAGTTTGCCAACGTTGGTTCAATTCTGCACTCATGACACATCCTGCTCTGCCAATTTACTTGCTCGCCGCGGGAAAAGGGCGCAGGGTAATTTATTCCGATTTCATATCCCAGCAACTCAGGCAAAGCTGCTAAACAAAACACTTCTACCTGCCGCCTCGATCCGCCTGGACCATTTTGATACCCAATCAGTAAAAGATATAAAGCCTTGATAAGTCTTGAACGCCCTGTCTCAATTCTTCTTCTAAGAGCAAACGCGGTCAGAATCTTGGCAGTTGTCACACAAACCCATGCTTGCTGCATCCATCTCGCCGGCGGCTGCAGGTTTTGGAAGACAACCACCAAGGCGCGAGCCGATTCCGCCGTTTCCTGCTTCTGAGCCCACTTCATCGTAGTCGAATTCGTCATGGATGACATCTCTCGCTCCATGATCACGCCCTGTCTGCTCTTTGGTCTCTGTGGCGGAATGGCAAGCTGTTGTGCTTGCCGCATTTTCTCATCACCTGCAACTGGAGAGCACGCAGTGTGTCACTGGGTTCCACCGTCGACTGGCATTGCAAGAAGCAAAAGGAGAACCTCCGCCAGCAGATGGCAAAGGGATGCAAAGGGTTCTTTGGGGGTTCATCTTTGTGTTCGCCTTTTGAACAAATGTGTTCAAAGGTACGTGAGACTCCTGGAAGATTCACTGTCACTCGTCTCAATGTCAGCCGAAGACTCCGAAGGTCTCGCTCCAGGTCGCTCCTTAAGGGTATCCCATCTTCATCCCGTTGTTCGAGCTTTATCCGGTGGTTCTGCTCCATTCCAAGCGGTCCTGTGATCCAGAAAAACACACCTTTCATTGCCTTTCATCCTGAAAGGTTGTTTGAGGGTGTGAAACCAGCCATTTTGAGGTCCACAAGACGAAACATTTACTGGATTGGCCTGAAGGTCGATGTAAAATCCTTCTTACGGCAATTCTTCGTGCAACACATCTTTACTTTCGCAAATCTGTCGCGAGCTCGATGCTTAACTTTCGCGGGGTAGTCTCCTTGGTTTGGTTGTGATCCACATACTTATCGTTCCAAGTTCTTTTGTAAACAAAATTGTTGCTTTCGCGCACTCGAAAAAATTAGTGAACAACATAGAAGGCTCTCAATGAACCCAGGCCTTATGTCGACCTTATGATACCATTTGTGGGTTCCTAAAGCCTGCCCAAACCCACCAGCTCTATACTGGGGGGGTCCAACCAGTGCCTCGCACAGAAGGGCAGCATGCCCACATCCCACATCCCATATTGGGAACTCATCTCAAGCAAGGTGTGACGCTAGATTCAACTTAGCACACGTAGCAGGGCTCAGGCCCATGGATGTAATTTGCTGTCCAAAGGAAAAAAGCCGCCACTGATCCTGTAGTCTCTGGATACTTGATTGAATCACCACAGGCGTACGATCAAAAACTCAATTTTGGAGGCCTCCAGGGTTTCTGCAGGGGTTTATCCTCAACGCCCTCAACCCCTCCACTTCACTAAGAAATGTTGGAATGCAATTGGCCGTAATTCAGTGGCAACCGCCGAGAGTTGAGGGTACCACTGTTTAGGCCGTCATCATTGTACTAAGGCAGAGGGCTCGAAGAGATGTGCTGTATGTGTGCACTACGCGCCCTAGTTTTAGAGCTCAATGATGTATCGCCTAAAGCCAACCCCTTGAAACTACAGTCCTCCAGTTGACGGGGAGTGCAGTGAAGCCAAATCTCAAAGCTGCTGGGCACCTCAGGTGAAAGCTTCGACGGACCTGGGGACCTGGAATCTGAATCAAGCGTGGCATCAAGCGTGGCACTTTGACAGTTTTATACATGCTCTTATTGTGGTGACCTTGAACAACAGGGAGCCACCATAGGACTTCTGAGACAGGGATATCACGTGGAACATGTGTTGCTGCCTCAGCTGGTGCCTCCCAAGCAAAAGCTGCTCAAATGCACCCTAACGATCCCCAAAGAATCTGTCTTGCTGCTGAAGAGCTGCGACCTGATACTCTATGCTCAAAAAAGGATGCTTATTGCATAAAAAACACATCAATGTTCATCTATGTTCATCATCCGCGTGTCTTGTTTCCACTACAGTAAATTCAAACACCAGGCGCGGCCCTCGTTTCGATCCCAAAACCGTCCTTCGGTCGAGACGCCAAGTCCTTGAGCTTTCGGAGTTCCTGGAGCCGAGCCAAAATACGGAGCGACCCCAACAGAGCGACCTCAACTTGTGCGTCGGACTGAGTGATCTTCTGGAGTTTCTCAGTCCGGCTCTCAGTCCGGAGCTTGCTCAAAGGAGACTCCTTGTAAACAAAAAAACATGGTCGAACAAAACTGGAAGCGCTTTCGAATTGATGGACCACACACACACCCTTTGAAGCTGGGTCAGATTTTGGGCTTGTCAGCTGAAGCGCTCGTCGAGCCTCTTCATCAGCAGGGAAAACACCCGGCACATTCAGCCCAGTGTCAATGAAGTGAACCTCGAGGTAAACAACTATTGCCAAGAGTTGGTGGGTCGTAGTTGTAACATGTTGTAACCGCCAGTTGTTTTGCTTTCTTTTGGGGGATCAAACTCATGTATCAAAGACGATTGGTTGATTTCTGCTTGAGTTGAACAAAAAATGAACAACTGACCAAACCCCAAAAAAAACTTTACTATACCTTGTTGAGTATCAAACAATACCAAAAGCATCCAAAAGCTACTCCAAAATGCAGCTGTGATACTGCTTGAACTCGTGACCACAACTCAACCTGGCGGAACATCCAAGGCCTTCTGACTGGGGCACCACGGCACCATTAAACACATCGCCATTTGTGAGCTCACTAGCATGTGCTTACATACACTGACATGTCCTAGATGACGTTTACCAACAAATCTGGACAAAGCCTCTAGCCTCTAGCCTCTCTGCCAACCAGTCTGTGAATTCCAAACAAAGCATTAAGCCTGCCTTTGCCTCTCGCATCAGTGCATTGAGAACCTCCGATGGCCAACAGGCACGCACATGCCTGCACTGTGCTTGTTAAGCCTTTCCCGTTTCAAACACCTGTGAACGGGATACATCATGAACAACATCTTGTGATGATCAGCTGCCAACACAATGAAATAGCCTGTGATGACCACATTGCATACAATTATACAATGTTATACATTATATATATACCGTATAGTAGGTTTCATAGTCTTGACATTTGGGCGGGCTATCGCGGAGATAGGAAGGCCCATAGTCTTGTCCGGCATCCTATATACATATGATGAACCTTGATGACCGGCCTGTACATATGTGTACCCTGCACCCTGAGCTCCCCCGCCGCGCCGCCCTTGCTGAAACCCAACAACAGCAGCGCAGACGGGAGCTCCTACCGTGGTCATTTCAGAGATCTTGGACTGTCCGCACGTGAGCCATGGTCTCATGGTGGATTCTTGTCCAGGGATCGATATAGCCAATGGATAAAAACTTATGGATCCATTGTGAAGGTATGATGGCTATTTTTCCACCTATGTCGAGGGATGGGTCAAGAAAAGCTGGATGCCAAATTCATGGCTGGAACTCAATAATGAGGGTGAGTCATCCACACATCTTTTCAAAACAGCGGGGGCTATCATCCCCAAGAACTCCCTTGTTTGTTGGCATGGTGGATATGAAGACTGCACCATACTAGGGCCAAGGCATAGAAGCGCTAATCTTGTCTGATCAAACTGCAAGACAAACTCGCTCGACTGGCAGATTCTCCTCACCCAGTTCGGTAGAAAGCGATCTCAACCTGGTGCCGCAACGACCAAGGACCAAGGTCTGAATCTGATGTGCAAATCAGCCGGCAGCATTCAAAGTTCAAGCTTTCGTGTCCTCTCTTCCTCTTGCCTTCTTGCCTTCCTGCCTCCCTCCTTCCCTTCCTCCCTCTCCCTCCCTCTCCCTCCACTCTTTCTCTCTTTTGCTTGTGACCACCAAAACCATGCTTGTGTGATGCATTTGTCATCTTTCATAGGGCTTTCGTTAGTAGTCAGGATGCCAGGGAATTCTGTGTCCGACAGGCCAAGGCAAAAATCATTCGCAATGAACCATCAAACACGTCTGGATTGGTTGTATTGGTGTTGCATCTTTGAGCCATCAAGCATTCAAGCGTTGCCTCTGGTCCTCTCGTTTCAGCAGTGTCCCTAGTTTGAAAACGTTGCAACCAACACCCCCAATTCAGCTCACAGCTCACTTCTGTGCATGCCCAAAGCAGTTACAATGAACTATATACAACAAACACCCCAGCTTCTTCAGTTCAATCAACAAGAAAACGCAGCATCTCGCGCTTTGCCGCGCCACGCGTTCGTTCAAGACAACGTGTGCCAGGATCACAGCAAATGAAGGTGCTCAACAGCCTTGGCCAGATCAACAGGCCTGTTTGGGAAAGAACCTTGGAAAACTAGGATCAGCACCTTGGCCAGATCCGGTTTGCGCCTGAGTCATTTAGACATAGTTGGGTACCCAAACAAATCACCCATGCTGGAAGAATCTGGTCTGAGAACCATCATGGTTCTTGCACATTACATACTGGTGCAAACTAATAAGCCCCAAACATTGATCGAGTCGGTGTGAGAAACTTAATCATGGGGAGGGCCCCGTAGGGGTATATTGATTAATTCACCGATTCACCATATTGACCCCTGCTTGCATTAACATGAATGGTGTTTCATCGCGTTCCTTCTTGTATTCTTAAAACACTGTTTTCTTCAGTTTTGTTTGAACACACACATGCTCATTGCATCTAATTAGGTCTGTCAGGTCTGGATGACTAGTTGCTTTGTGTAGATGCTTTCAATCACGTCTCACCTTATCTGAACTGAATGAACTAGGGCAGTTTTCTAAAAGGCTTCCTTGACCTGGTAGACTTTGACCGCATGCTGAACACGTGTAGCTCCGAAATTGAACGGATTATGTACAGTAGATAGTAGACGAGCATAGATGAGCCAAAGACTTCTTGATTCTCTACTAGTAACAAGAAGCTACTAGGGGCTCCTGGCCTTACTACTAGGAGCAAGGACTTCACTAGAGGCTCCTGGCATCGCTACTAGGAGCATTCTTACTACTAGTCAGTAACAAATTCAATTTCAGAACCTTTCCAATCCAACTTGCCACACGGCTCGCCTGCGGAGGATCTGCTTCCGCCTGAAAACATCCATTCTGCACTCCACCATGAAGAAGGACCAGTCTGTCTGCATTTTTTCTGTCTGGTTTGTGATTAATCAATCTGCATTGGATTAAGCAATTAAACCGTTCTTTAGCTGGTTCCAGTTGTTCTTGGTCAAATACGATCAAATACACTACATAGCGCATCCTTTGTCGAGGGCCGGATGGATCATCGAATCCTGGTTTCATCATGGTCTACAACCCAGACCTAGACTGTGGCGAACGTTCTTGTGGTGGGTGGCTTGACCACTGGTGATTGTTGCGACTGCGACATTGGCACAGGACGCATCTGCCTGGCTTTGGGGATCTGCCAATGATCTGGGATTCCCGAAGCTGTCCACCTGCACTTGACGCGAACATCATTCCAATTTTTCAGATGGTCTCCCATGCCGTAATTCAATGTACCAGGATATATCTAATATATTAATATATTATATAATATATCAGAAAAAAAAGAAGCATGGCAATACATCAACGCCCCGTTCTTCCATCATTTTTAAAGCGTTCCGGAAGTTCCAAAAGCCAAAGTAAGCCACAGCTGAAAGTGAGGTCAACTCCCCACACCAAACCCTCAGGTCTATGTTGAAGCGACCAAAGAACAATTTTTTAAAGGAATTAATTAAAATACACATTGCTTGAGTGGACGGAAGTCTATGCCAAAAAGTCTGACCGCCACACTAGCCAAGTCCGGGCAAATTGGAAAAGCAATGTGTTATTGGGTTCAAGCGATATCTCTCATTAACACCCGCCATCGGAACTAATGTTCGCCAAAGTTAGCCGCATACTACTGATCACGAAGTGGACTTTTGTCTAGCGGCTAGAGCGGAGCCAGCGCGCAGCTAGCGCAAAAAATCGTTGGTACCCGAGTGAGGAGGACAAAAAGAAATAAATAAGACAAGTTCATTGGCGAAATCATTTGGCAACACACACACACACAGACACACACCTACCAACAAATCGGGGTGATATCGAACCTGCGCTGAGCTAGCGCCAACCTAGAGCTGCCTTGCAGAATCACCCATTTGCCGCTTCTAAAGGAAGAAGCGAAACATATGTTGCCCATAAGAAAACTCGGTCCTTCTGTTTTTTGACTAGGAGCAAAGAAGCTATATTATCTGTTATCTCCTGGCATCGCTACTAGGAGCAAGGACGCTACCAGGGGCTCCTGGCCGTACTACTAGGAGCAAAGAAGCTAGGGGCTCCTGGCATTAGGGTCTTTTGAATCCATTTTGTATCTGAATACATGCAGGCGTTCGCTGGATGGCATACATGGATCCACGCACCCCTAGTAGCGTCCTTGCTCCTAGTAGCGATGCCTGGAGCCCCTAGTAGCTTCTTGCTCCCCTCGTAGCGTCCTTGCTCCTAGTAGCGATGCCAGGAGCTAGCTTCTTGCTCCTAGTAGTACGGCCAGGAGCCCCTAGTAGCGTCCTTGCTCCTAGTAGCGATGCCAGGAGCTAGCTTCTTGCTCCTAGTAGTACGGCCAGGAGCCCCTAGTAGCGTCCTTGCTCCTAGTAGGGATGCACAACTCTAGCCTGTAGATTGGTTCTGAATCCTCCTTGTCGGCACTTTCATGCGGGCCTGATTTCGTGCAATGCAATTAGCTCGTTCAGGGTCTGCACCTTCTCAACCCATGGCAGAAGGGTGCCTGCATAAAATTCACGTAGATGGCAAAGTGTTCCCTCATCATCCGCGGCTTGACCTCGTCATCCGGCTTGATTTCAGCTGCACTGGGCAGTGGGCGAAGGGCAGTGGGCGGGCCCAGCCCTCCGTCGTCCGTCGCGTTCGATGAATGAATACAGTATGTTTGCACCTGGGGTCCGAACATAAGTAGATCCTACCTAAAACCGAAAAGACCAGTTCCTATTTCCTATTAGCCTCAACTACTGAACTCTTTAAACCTGAACTGAACTACAGTATCCTTCTGCAAAGACATTTGAAGCGCATCGGCACGGGCTGTTCGTACATGTTTGGGGTACTGGATCACCTACAAAGACTCTATGAAATCGGCCATGACCTCCTTTGGCCAGGTCCCTTGCGACCAAGCAAGAGCTGCTTTGACCCACCAAGCGAATCCGAGCGACTAGGACCACATTGTCCTCGGGGAACTTCAAGGACAAGACCCAAAGCAACCCCTGCCAGCGGCCGCGAAACGCGCGCGTTCCCTTTGCGCGTTTCCGAGGTTTCTGCGATATCGTCACCATTGGCCACTGGGATTCAAAGAAATCGATCAGTACATAGGCTGCATAAGATGGAGTTGCTGTATCTGGATGCCTCTAAGCCCATGGATGGAGTTAGTTACTGCCATCGGATCCACGGATGTCAGCGGCTGGAAGGAAACATGGTTTTCGCACGGACCTCCAAGGAGTAGCTATAGGGCGCATGCTTTGATGCGAAGTCAGAGATATCCTGCAAAACGAAGAAGACGCAGACGCGAAACAACCACAACAGACAATGCGTGTGTGTTTTGGGGTGTCAAAGCAAAGAAGCAAACATACTAAGTACAATGCCATACACGATTAAACAACATACTCTGACATACTCAGTCTGACAATGTTTGGATGAGAATTCTGCGATTGAAAGATCCAAAGTCAGTGTCGAAGCGGTGAAGGACGGGAGTCAAGCAGCCAGTCCCCAGGAAAGAAGATCACCGATCGTGACGCTTGCGGCACATGTCTTACCTTGGCCACTGCTGCCTCTGCGGTCTTGGAACCTCTTCTGCTTGCAATGGCAAGTGAGTTTGCTGGTGGGGACAGCGAACAAGTAAGCATCTCTTCAAGTTTTCAAGTCTGGATGACCCCCCAAAGCTATCCCAAAGGTGAACAAGCGCCATCAAACATAGGCCTGACGGCCTGAAACAAGTTTTCCTTCAAAGCAAACCAACAAAAACAAGAAAGCAAGCACACCAACAACGGAGCAAGCAAGCAGGCAGGCACGCAACACGCAAGAAAGCAAGCAAGCAAGCAGGCAGGCAAGCAAGCAGGAAACGCAGCAGGCAAGCAAGGAAGCAAGGAAGGAAGGAATCAAGCAAGGAAGCAAGGAAGCAAGGAATCAAGCAAGGAAGCAAGCAAGCAAGAAGGAAGGAAGGAAGGAAGCAAGAAAGGAAAAGCAAGCACATCTCAATCAACCATCTTTTGAACCAGCTTCTCACATTGAACCAATCTCAGTGCCTTCACATCTTTCCCCACTTCAACTCCAATGCTCCGGACTCTAGGGCTCTGGCTAAAAGCCAGTTGAGCTTTCCAGCAAGGCCCATACAATGAAACAGTCCAACCCCTGGGTGGCTGGACACCAATCTACGGGCAATGGACTCTGATCGGATATTGGGATACATTTTATGGTCATATGGTTGCACAACATTCTCTGGGATCGCAAGACATGACTGGTTTCAGTCACGCCAAACAAGTTACTACACGCCAAACGCGCGACATGGTCCCTCCGTCCGAAACAGGCCGGAGAGACTCAAAGGCATCGCTCCAACTTTGGAAGCACCGAGAAAGTGGTTCTCCCGGAATGTTTGGGCAACAGGGTCATTTCAGAACACACTCTGAAGGCTCGCTTTAGAACACATGTACCAGCCAATCGAATGGGTGGGGTGGAGGAAGGTCCTTGAGTCACTGGGTGAAGTCGAAGTTATGCGACACTCAACTGTCAAGTATTGTCAAGTTGTCTTTTCTCTTTGAATCTCTTTGGTTTATGGAACCTGGGCGATGAAAGCAACAACTTGATAGTCAAATGTTGCCCATGATAGCAACAACTTGATAGATATTCTTGGATTGCACCGTGAGGTTGTTGGTATTTCATCTGGAACATTTGGCTGAGTGCCATAGGCCGAATACCCAGAGCCAACAGAATGGGCCTTGCAAACGAGCGAACACACGAACAGTTGAAAGCAACTCATGCTGCGTTTCGTACATGACTGGTGAACATACGATCATAATCACCAGCGACACCAGCTCGACGCTTCATGTACGGTACAGGTGTCAACGAACGAATCGTTTCATCAATGACTGAAGCAAAATGCATCCCTCCATCGCCGAGAAGTCAAGTCCCACGGGCAAATGAAGTGTCCAAACACACGTCTAATCCAGGTTGAGAAGCTATATCAGTCATCTTAACACTAAATACTAAACAGATTCGACAACATCTCCATCTGGCATGTATTTATGTGCCTGACATTGAACATTCTGCCAGGCAAATGTTGCCAGGCAAACAACAAAAAACGTAGGATATTCTTGTTGGACATGACTATTCAGAATATCGGATGCTAGAGCTGACCTTGCAATCACCGGACAATCCAAGTCCCGACATTGGTTTCAATGAAGTCCCATCATCTTACCCAAAAGGTTTTGCCAATTCTTAGATCATGATCTGAAAAGCAGCTCTTAAACCATGATCCCAAATCACATGCCTAGCAAATCGGAGCAGCTACAAACCATTCCAAACTTATCCAGCTTGAGGGGGCACATTTCAATCATGTTATATGCCATATCATGCGTAATTAGTATATATATATACTGTATATATATATATTAATATCTATAGTATATGCGTAATTAGTATATATATATATTAGTATCTATAGTATATAGTATTGTTATACGTTCAACATCTCAAATAACTCCTTGGGCACAACCCTGTGAAGAGCTTTTGGTCTGCGGATGAAAACTCAAGGCCTCCCTTGAGATGACTCACCCAACTCCACGCGCTCCTTCGGCGTCGCGGTTCCGCGGTTCCGCACTCGTACTGGAATCACCAGCGCCGCACCGAATTCACTTCGTGCACTGTCGGATCGTGCTCTGGTCAACGGCTGTTCACGCAGCTGTTCAATGCTGTGAAAACTCAGCAGTTCCTGTGAAATCACTTCGATATGTGTGTGTGTGCATGTGTATAGGTCAGCTGCAATGATGATGTGCACGAGTTTGGGTCTTGGTAAGAAAACCAAAAAAAGAACCATTGAAACATGTTTCTGACTCCCCGTCATCCTAGAATGAAAAAGAAATGCCATAAGCCTAGTTGTGAGCATCCTTTGAACCTGAAGGTCCAAGGAAAACGAGCTTCGGTGAAACTACGGGCTCTGTGCGAAGGTGATTCACACATTAGAAGGAACCATCCGCGAAGAGCGAAGTGGCTTCTCCACTTAGTCACGATACTTTTTTCACAGCTGGGTGCAACTGGGTTCCTTCAGTTCCAACTTGTTAAAATCATGTGCATTTACATGGCAACTGCCTCACTTTTTCTGCAGTTGCATCACTTGGTCCACAAACAGTTGACACATGTTGACAGCAAATACCAGTGGAGTGTTGTCATCTGAAAAGGAAGAACGCCATCATTCTTCAGTTTTCTGCGATGCAGTCCCTTTCCTTGGCAGCTATACCTTACTTTTGAAGGCATTGAGATCAAGTGAGGCCGCGCACTAGAGCAGCTCTTGCCCAGCCTATCCCTCCGATACGCTACGACTTAAGCCATGGTCGGCCAAGGTCATCCCAGGACTTCTACGACATCACCGTGTTCAACCTTTGTGGACCAAGCGAGCTGGGTGAGACAGGCTCTGAAGCACCAGTGAGCTGGCTGAAAGATCTACCCCCCCCCGGCAAACTAACATGGAGTATCATGGAATTGAGAATTCACCTGTTGTTCAAGCCATTGTCCTCTACAACTCAGTGGCTTTTGGAGTTTTATGTGGCCCTCTGCAGGGGAGTACCAACAAAGGATATGCCACTGGACATGTCGTCTTGACATCACCAGCTCAGGTGGGATCAGGCTTTTTCTGCTTCGACCTGTTTCTTTGAGGCCTTGTAATCTGGATGGGAATAGCAATTTCAGGACATCTTGCTGTAGCGCTTCTGAGAGCAGCCAGGTTGGTTTATGTGCAAAGAGCAGTGGACCTCCACCCTAGTAGCGATGGCCTCCACCCAAGAGGCATCAGGTGTTCCAGTCTTTTGGGAGCACAAACCACAGCCGGCTTCTCATCTTGGTCCAAATGACAGATGGTATCCCTTGTGCCTCACAAAATGCACCCAGTGGGTTCAATGAGTGGTCCGATGACCGCTCCAAGAGCCACACCCATCAAGCGTCCATCAGGCGTCCCACACTCAAAAGAAAACCATAGGAAAAACCGAAGTTGGTGGCGTGGATGGACGTGTTATTCTTCGTGCAGAAAACAAGAGGAAGGTAGAAAACTGCTGGCATCTACCTATCACGGGGCCAACGAGAATATAGAGAATATATGTGTGCTTGTCGTTCGGCTGAATGGACCTATCAACATGGCCCCCTGATTTCAAGGCGCACACAGCGCCGTCAAGCGCACAGCCGTCAGTCATTGAGCATCGTCAGCATGGCAGCTCCCTTCAGGGTCCAGTAGGAGGGATCCATGAGTGTTTCCACCTTGCACATCGAGATGCACACTCAGACACGGCCCGAGAAGAGAATATGGTTTTGTCACAAAATGCCAATTATCAGCACTTGCGCGTACGAAAGTGGGGAGATGTTGAGAAAACACCTAGATTTGTTCTCCTTTGTTGTAGAAGAACTACTGTAGGTGTCTAGATCATCAACAACCTTTTGCAAAGCCCTGTTCCACACACCTCAATGGCCAAGACAAAGTTGGTTGAATGGCCAGTGGTGGACAGCGTGCCCGCCCGGATGGAGGTCTTGTAAATCGGGCAGCGATACCTGAATGCGAGAATGGGAGCTGGTTGCAAGACAAGCAAAAGTAAGTGTAAGCTTGTCAAACGCATAATGCTACCTGTGAGTCTGTGAGCTGCAAGACTGTGAGTTGCTTGACATCAGTATCTTGCTTTGAGCGAGACCACACTGTTTGATCTGTGTGGTTCTCCCAGCTCCGTCCCACCGTCCCGCTCCGCTCCACTCCTTTGCCGAGACGACTCCGCATGACCGAGTGGCTTCTCATTATTGACCTTCTTGTCCTGATCAAGAATTTCGAGTCTCAGCAGGCGAACTTCACATGTTGCTTTGAAGCTACGAACGTAACTAAGGGCATCGCGGGCATCGCTAGAGTCGCTACGTTCGGGGCTCCTGGCCTTACTACTAGGAGCAATCGGACGCTACTAGGAATGGTTTCCGCGGTTCACGGACGAGCACTTCTTTTCACCGATTCTTTCGGGTCCGAAAGCACACCCGTTCCACGTGGCCCAATGGGTCGCTTCATTCGAGCCGGCTCCTCCCCGAAAAAGACCGAACCATAGTCCACCCTAGTAGCTTCTTGTTACTAGTGGCGATGGCCTCCAACCTACTCGCGATGGCCTCCACCTAATAGCGTCCTTGTTACGGGTAGGATGTAGTAAGGTTAAGGTCAAAGTGACATCAGTTAGCAAACATTTAAATTCGGAGCAATGTCGAAACCTATTATCAGTCCGTCTCTGACTTCACTGCGAGGTAGAAGCGCATGCTTTTCCCAAACAAGCTCAGCCTTCCAAGGGATAAAGTTGATGATTGGAGACTTCACGAACATGGTGCCGAACTCCTGACAACCAAAAATGCACGAAGGTAGCCTTTTGAACCTTGCGAAGAACTGAAGGTAGATCGGCGATGGAGCAAGGATGCCAAACACAATCTGAAGCAACATCGTATGATTTAGAAAGGCAGGATCAGATTTCATTGCTGACAACCACAGCTAGTAGCAAATTACATGCACATGCTTTACTGTAAGCACACATGACTCTCTCATGCGAGACAATAGACTAATATCAAAAGCGACATGTTGTTTGGGGTCCCTTTCAGAATGAAACACATCAACACATGCTGCTTGCATGTTCTGTTGAAATGGTCGCTGACTTCACGTTGGCTACGTCTGCTTGATGATATCATTGTATATCAATGTCTTGGCATATCCTTGCTGTTCCGGGCAGTTGCACATTGGGAATTGTGGTGTCGGTATATATATCAACACAACCGAGAAACCCTGGTATTCACCAAACTGAGTTCCTGGAACAACTTTAACACCACGTCAAAACACACATCCCACCTTAAAAATATGTATGCTGCCCTTAGCGAGGCGAACTGGCAGCCAACGTACACACCCTTTGATTTTGAAGGAACACGCCCCACCCTTCTGAATCACATCCTGGGCCCACTGGTTGCTCTTCGCATCTTCCGCTTTCCAGAAAAACACGGCAAAACGAGGGAAAGCAACGCTCCAACCGTTTTACGCTCCTGGTCGTCGATCGCCATGTCGTCATAGCTCCATGCCGCGCCATCCTGAGCCGCTGAGTCCAGACTCGGCGCGGAGGACGCGCGGAGGACGCCGCGGCCGGGGTTTTCCACACCGAACGAAGGGACTTTAAAACGCGTGCGCTACAAACAAAATAATCAAATACGGTGCTTGGAGGCCTTGGAGGCGCATGACTTGAGGATAGAAATAGATAGAAATAGAATATGTGCGAGTTGACGAGTTGACGAGGATACCATGATAGGAGATGGTGGGTGTGGCTCTTTTGCTTCCCTGTGATTCGAAAAGCCCCCCCCCTTCCCATGTTCTTCGGAAAACGGGCTGAAGAGTCGGTGCCTGTCAGTCGCAGCCTAGAGGCCATGAAGAGCCCATGGATGTAGATACCCTCCTCCGGAGCGCCTTCCAATTCATGAGGGTCACTGGTGTCCTGACAAGCTCCCAACTCTGTTTGTACACGCGCCCAGTCGGCTGGGCGGGGCGGCTCACAGGGAGCACCAGTGGGCCAACAAATGGACCAAATGGTCATGCGACGACTTCAGTCAGTGGACCGGTCTGGCTCCACAAATGCAGAATCCACTGAACAGGGTCATTCAAAACACCAGTCTGGCTCGACATTTGTCACAGCAGCGACACATTCAGAATCACACGATGCTCGTCCTGCATCACAAATTCAAAGGACAACCTGAGTTCATCAGTGGATCGTTGAACGAGCTCAACTAGTCCGCAGTAAATTGCCAAACATGAAGCCGCACACAGAAGACCCTTCCACTTCAGTGCTGAAAAACCTCAAGTAGGCAAAACATACAATTTATGAATCAAACTACTCAGATGAATCCATTTAGCAATCTATCAATTTAGTATGATTCATCATGTATAATTATCCTATATATATATATCAATTCGCTATTAGGCCCAAAATCAACTCTTGCATATGGACTTGGCTTCCCGAGCCGGAGTGGAACAAGAGTTGAACTGGACTTGTCACCATCGGTGGAATGAAGCCGAAAAACCCCAGTCTGCGGTGTTTGTCCGATCTCGCCTTCTCCACCCAGGTACGAACACCCCACCGAGCACTAGAGTATTTCCCACTGCAGCTTGCATAGCAAGACGTTGAACATGGTCGCAGCTTGCATGGTGAACCAACCACAGACCCCAAACATCCCCAAACCATCAGTCATCTGTTTGTCGCTCAGCCGCTGATCCACCGGGATCATGTTGCTTCTGGAATAGCCCTGCAGGACGGAGGTCAGGAAGCCCTGAGGAGCCGATGCGACGGTCCTGGGCCTCGTTGGGTTGACCGCTTGACCGGTCAACCAAAACATCACACGCGCACAGCGCACAGCGTGATGTGGCATACTGTGCCCTGTTTTGACTCTCTATGGAAGGAAGTGTTTCACCTTTTCTCATCGGCCACCCGAACATGTCCTCAAAGATCTGTGGATGGATACGGCTTCGGGCATGAAGTGAACAATCTCTTGAAGGCACCAATCCATAGCAACACCGCTCAGAAACGTGTTGCAGCTTCCCCAATAAGCTACAAGTCTGGAGTCACCCCAGAAGGATTATTTGGAGGCTGCTTCCTTTACCTCAACCATGGCCTGTGGGAAGTAGAAGGACGAGATCCAATAGGCAATGGGAATGCCACCATCAATCCAATCCCTGAAGAAGGCAAAGCGCAGGATCATATCCTGACACAAAAGACCAACTACCATGTAACACACACAAGAAGCTGGAAGAGACGTGAAGGAAAACAACCTCCGAGCAATACAACATAAGACAACCGTCAATTGAAGCTACAAGTTTGCTTCTAGGTAGAAGCGCAGGACAGCTCACGCTCGCACTAATGATTTGGCTAGTATGCTACTACATATGGACGCAGGATAGCTCACGCTTCAAGGAAGCTCCCCCCGCCTGAGGGTGGGGGGAGCTTCCTTTTTTTTTTGCTCTCAAGCCGCGACTCCGAGTCGGTGGCAACCCCAGCGCATTCCGCAGCTAGGGTCACTCGTAGCCATGACTACAAAAGGTTGTCAAACGGAATGCTCCAAGACCAAGGTGTTGCTTTGGCACCTTTGGCAAACGCACGAGCAAGCATATCCAATGCAGCATTCTCAACATACACTTCGGCGCCGAGGAAAGCACCCTTCGGAAAGGTCTTGCCGTTACTCTTGTTGCGTTTGTCGAGCAACAGAGGCGCGACCACGACCCTTTTCTGCTTGCAATAGGCAAAACCCGAACGAATCAAGCTGGCGAAGGCTTGAGGCGTGCAAATGGTTCCTCGAGGCAGTTCAAACCTCCAACCACGTATAAATGCCACAACAGCCAACTCGAAGACTGAGCAAGCGAATCCATCTCCGACACGCCACTGCAAGGAGGCGCAAAAGCGTAGAAAGGTGCGGAAGTTGTTCTCCGTCAAGGTGGATGTGGCACGAAAGGGCAAATTAAGGTCAATGTCGGCCCGCCATGTAAACAAGGCTTGCGAAATGCCCCATGGCCACTTGGGACACATCTGTCTAGCAGAGTACTGAATAGCAGGCACAGGGGAGACATGACCTTTGGAATTACCGGAATCAGCAGGCTTTTTACACATTCTATTAAGCTGGCTCAACCAAAGCTGCCTGGCAAAAACATCATGCTCCATCAGGTGCAGCTCACGACTCGTCTCGTGTGCAAGTTGGGCAATATGCTGCTTAGCACAGTTGTCAGCCAGTCTATTGAGAATGATGTCCTGACGAGAAGACCCAGCTTTAGTTGCCAACTCTTCCGTGAGTGCCTGGCTAGGAACGTGTTCCAGCAAATGAGCAGGGCACCAAAGCAATTGCAATGGAGAAGGGTGAAGCTCTTTCCGGTGAAGAAGCTGATCCAAAATGAAGCTCCACCAATTGGCATGGGTCCATTCAACCTGGACTGTCTCAGTTTGAAGCAACACCAGAAACTGCTTGACGATGGTAAGGGAATCCGTGTGGATACCAACGGCTGTTCTGCTCTGGCAAAGGCGACCGCAATGGCCCAAAGCTCAGCTGAATAGCTGGACAGGCGCCAATGGCGGACCCGACCAACTGCTAAAATAGATTCGTTAGCCGCAATGACAGCAAAGGATGCGATGGTCAGCCATGGATAGGTTGTCAGTTGCACGGAGCCGTCCGTCCACACGTGTTGAACCTGCTCCTGCACAGCCGTCCACTGAAACACAGGAACCTCCGAAATGCTGGACACTTGCAGTTTATCACGTATAGTGTCCAAAGGAAGCTCAACAATGCCCAGTGTGCTGAAATTAGGGCCGAAGAAGAAGTTGGTCGAAGGTTGCCGAACCGCTTCTGGCAAGGCATCACACTCGTATACAAAATGGCTCACGGATTCCTTGGGAGCAGAGCAAAAGCGGCAATTGGCTTGGTCAACCAGCTCGGCTGCAGCAAGCCTGTCGGCTGTCAAAGTGCAACCTGTCACCGCACTTTCCCAAAAGAACAGGAAGGAAAAACCCTCATGAGGAATAGCAGCTAACCTCTTCTTTGCCGAAAGCGTCATCGTAGTGTCAAGGAAACCAAGAGCCGTACTGATGTCTTTCCTTGGCATGAGGCAGGCAGTATGGTAGCATTTGTTTGCAGCCAAACTCTTCAGCAAACATTTCAGGTCAGGAACCGAGAAATCCAGAAAGTTGACAGGCGCAGACCCAAAAACCGAAAATTCAAAGGTGTGGACCCACTCAATATCCAGGATCTGGCAGGCCTGACTGAATTGTGTCATCCATGCTTGTGCAGTAAGTTGGTCTTGTTCAAAAAGCTGCGCCCATTGCTGCCGTGCAAACACGGAATATTGCAAGAAGCGAACCGATTCAGCAATTGTTGTGACCGCACGACAGAGGAATGGATCCAACTTGTGGGCCTTGTACACAATGCAAAGAAGGAGATGCTTCGACCGCCATCTAGGTCTGTCTTGCCACAAGGAGTCCGCCACAGCACTTTGAAGGCGGGCCAAGGCCCGCTTGGGGATAAAGTTCAAATGCGGCGCAAATGCAATCTGCGGCAACACTTTGGTGGCCAAGATCTGAGCTCGCTTGTAGCCATCACAAGGCAAGGTGCGAATAACCTCACAATCTCTGAGAGCTGCCTGTATCTTGCAAGCAGGAAAGGAACCAACATTCTTCTTGGTCGTTTGCACAAAGGCTCCCAAGATGTTCACCACCTCAACAAGGCGCATTTCCGGAAACGCAGCTTTCAGTGCACGTCGGAGGTCTGGAGTGGTGGCAAAGACCTCACATTTGCTTGCATTGAGGAATTGGCCACAAAGAGAATCCCACAATTCGGTGGCTTTGACGGCGGAGACAAGACCCTCAATCATAGGTTGCCGCGACCACAAGTATGTGTCATCAATGAAGGCACGGAAGTCCACTCCCTCAATATGCTCCATCAGCCAAGCCCAAATGGCCATATGGAGATTGATACAAAGAAGGCTGAGCGAACAACCCTGCACGACGCCGTTTGGCGTGGAGATCGGAGCAGCTCTGGTCCATTGTTTGAAGGAAAGGAAACGCGTCATCCTCAAATAGAGGCATAGAAAAGCTCGCACGAAGCCCGTTGGAAGGCCCAATGCCAACATAATTGCAGCACAAAGCTTAGGCATCAAACGGTCAAAGCATTTCGACTTGTCGAGCTTCAAGGCTGCAAAGTGGCCTTGAAAGCTGTGCGCATGATCGATCTCAAGCTGCAGCGTCATGTGTACCTCCGACATTTGGCGCATCTTGATACCTCCTTTCAGCTGCGAAGGCATAATCTGCTGTTGCCAGCTTTGTAACTGGAGGAAACGCAGGCCGGTGTATAGGAGAGTGAAAATGGACTGTAGGGCAATCAGCCTTTTTGCCAGCGGAGCGTCGCTTCCATCCTTGTTCAAAATGATCACACGCACCTGAGTAAGGATCACCGGGAACTCAGAGTATCCAGCTTCAATATCGTTGAAGAGGTCGGCAACAGGTTGAAAGGCAGCAGGTGGGAGAGCTTGAACTTCCCGCGTACGCCACCCATCGAGACCAGCTGCCGCTTCAGGTTTCCGGCGCAAGGCTTGTTCCCAAAGTTGTCGGGCTGTGACAGGCGGCAGGACAACAGGGCGAGCTTTGTCATGAATATAGGGCCAAACTTGTTTCAGGATCTGCATTTCATGCTGGTGACTCACATTCACTGAGAAAACAGCATCCCACTTGTTAGCAATCACATCCATTGCAGTCTGCGGATCGAAGACAATATTCCCAGAGTCATCCTCAATGAGATTTTGCGGCACCACGCGGCCTTTCCTCTTGAGGTACTGGTAGACAACTTTCCCTATCGTCAAGGAGGTGGTAGCATTCTTCATTGCTTGTCTCCACTTGCGAATGGCAGCAAGTTTCAATTGCTGTAGCTCCTGGTTGATGGCTACCAAAACAAGCTCCGCCACATGGTGCAAATCCTGCAGGAAGAGTGTTTTCACAGCCCCTGGGACAACTTGTGCTTCTTTCAATCTGCGGAGCAGCCGTCGCTGGGTGTTGAGTAACGTATGGTAGTCCGCAGTGCCAGTGCACGGTCGACCGAGACGAACTTGAAGCTCTCTTAGGGATCGAAGGCATGCCTGCAGCAACTGAAGCCGTGGCGAAGCCACACTGCCATTAGCCTCCTGCGAAGTAACCATGGTGGTTTTGCAGAACTTAGGAAGGCGGCCCCGCACTCGCGGACCTTTCTCCCAAGTAGCCCCATTCACCAGCAGCACATGCATGGCAAAATGATTGAAGATCGACCATCTTTTGCAGGGGTCGGGCTCGTTGGAAAAATCTTGCTCATGTTGTCGCCACATCTGTTCAGCTAAGGTGTTCACCGGACAGGCAGGGTCAGCCACATTACAGGTCGCGACATGTGTAAGATCCAAGGCAGCAGACCGTTGCATGATGGTACCAACCTGAGCAATACGATCCCAGGCAAAGGTTGCTTGGACAGGTCGATGTTGGCGGTCTCTGTGGTCCAAAACCTCAATACGAATCAAGGCTGCGAGCGCTGTGCGGTTCATGAGAATACCGTCAATTGAGGATTGCCCTTCATCAACAGAAGCCGCATGCTGAAAAAAGGTGCAAGGCCGAATAACCTCTCCAGTACTGTCGGTCTGGAGCAGGGGGTCCGCCCATCCCCAGTGGTCCAAGGCGAGTTGCACAGAAGGGTACATACCCGGCTCCATTTGAAAGTCGCCTGCAATGACAATGGGGATATCAGCAAATTGGGATGCGACCATAAAGATCTGATCCAGCAGCTCATTGTTCCGCTCAAATTTAGGTCGTTCAGACGCAGCATTGACAACAGCATAGAAGTTGAAAGCCAACAGCTTAACACTTGCAGATACCTGGTGCCAAGTAGCAGTGACCCGACAAGTGGCACGAAGGATAGACCAAGCTCCAGAAACATCCATTTTGTCCTCAAAAATCTGCGTGAGTTCTTTGTGAGCGCAAGTGGCAACACCGCCAGAAGGAATCCTGAAAGTGCCGTTACTAGCGCGCAGTTTGTGCAGAGGTTGCGAACAAAAAAGGCCAAAGTTGCAAAGAGCAGCTTTCCTCTGCGACTCGGTCATGTTGGAATCGGCCACTCTGGCTTCCTGCAGCGTGAAAGCATCTGCATTCCATTGTAAGCAGCTGGCGTTGGTGGCAAAGGAGT